GAATTATTCAATAACCCACAACATACAAAAGTTTGACCCATCAGAAGACTAATAAGGAATTAAACAAAATATGAGAACTTTGATACTAACATAACCACTTACTTCTGTTTCATTTCAATAACCCAATACTGAAATTAATGATAGACTCAAATAATAATAAAAAGAAAATGAACAGTGACGAGTGAAGAAGTTACAGATTCAAGAAGTCTGGAAGTGTGTTATGATGATATGTTGATTAAGAGAGTATTGGAGTAGTGATTAAGAAATAAAAGAAAGAAGAAAAAGAAAGAAGAAAAAGAAGAAAAAATGAAAGGGATAGAAAAAAGAAAAGCTTGAGTTGGAGGAATAATAGAAGACAATTAAAATAAAAGAATAAAGATCGTTATAAGACAATAAAAAATGAGTAAATGAGAAGAAAAGAAAAAAGAATGAGGGTTGGAACTTAAAAAAGAGAGTAGTTAATGGGTTTGGAAGGATATTTACGAAATAATTTTCAATAAGGATTGATTTACAAAGATTAGGAGGATTAATATCATACATTTCATCACTATTTTCAACTCCAGTCAGAATGTTAATATTAGGACTAGATTCTGCAGGAAAAACAACTATTTTATATAGAATTGCATCAGGAGAAACAATTATGACAGTTCCAAGTTTGTTAATTGACAAATAGAAGAAGTTCAAAAAAGAAATTAAAAAAGTAGCAATTGGATTTAACTTAGAAGAGTTAGAATATAACCAAATGAAATTTAAGGTGTGGGATTTAGGAGGACAAGAAAATCTTCGACCATATTGGAGATGTTATTATTCGGGAACAAATGCAATCATCTTTGTTGTTGATAGTTGTGATAGAGAACGAATAGAAGTTGCAAGTAAAGAATTAGAAATAATAAGTGGAGATAACAATTTACAAAAAACAGTTATTGCTATCTTTGCAAACAAACAAGATGACAAAAAGCATTGTATGAGTGTAGAAGAAATCACGGAAAAAATGAAATTAAGTGAAATTCAAAATGTGACGTGGTCAATCTTTGAAACAAGTGGAGTAACAGGAGAAGGACTAAAAGAAGGGATGGAATGGATTGCTAGTCATTGCAAATAAAAAAAAAGAACAGAGAAACATATATAGAAATAAATCAAAAATTAAAGAGAAGTTTTGTTTAAAAGAAGATAAGATAAAAGTATTTTTTAAAAGGGGTTTTTAAATAAGGAAGAGAGAAATAAAGGGATTTTTAAAAAAAAGAAATAAAAAAGAAAAAGAAAAAACTAAGAAATCAAATGAGCCATATTAGTGCTAAAATCACGATTTTAGAAGCAAAGAATACAGTTTCTCATAAAGGAGAAGGGATTGATTCATATTTTAAGTTAAAAGCTAATTTCTTAGCAGTTGCACTTAAAACAAGAACAGCAGAAAAAAGTTCAACACCAAAATATAATGAGACATTTACAATTGAAGTTCCAGACAGTCAAAAGAAAGGGGTTAGTCGAACAATAATACTAATTGGATATAAACCAAAAAGATTTTCAGATAAAGTACTTGGAGAAGTAGAAATTAATTTAGAAAAGAATGAAGATGTTGATGGATGGTTTGAGTTAAAAAAGAAAAAAGAAGATAAAAAAGGAAAAGTTAGTGTTCATGTTATAGTTAAGTTTGCAGGACAAAAAGAAGCTAAGAAAGAAGAGACATTTGAAGAATTTCCAGATAGAAGTGAATTTGATAAGAAATATACAAAAGAAAATGAAATTGGACAAGGAGCATTTTCAGTAGTTTATAAAGGAATTAGAAAAGAGGATGGAGTTAGTGTTGCAGTTAAACAAGTTAATAAAACATCACAAAGTAGTGACCAATTAAAATTATTAAGAAGAGAAATTGATGTAATGAGAAAATTATCAAATCATCCAAATGTAGTTAAATTATATGATGTTTATGAAGATTCAAAAACTATATTAATGGTTATTGAATATATGTCAGGAGGAGAGTTATATGACCAAATCATTCAAAGAGGAAGTTTTACAGAAGCAGATGCAAGTGATATTGTATATCAAATTCTTTCAGCACTTTGTTATATTCATTCAAATGGAATAGGTCATAGAGATTTAAAACCAGAAAATTTATTATGTGCAACACCAAAAGGAGATATTGTTAAAATAGCAGATTTTGGATTATCAAAAGATAATTCAGATGGAAATACAGCAATGACTACATGTTGTGGATCACCAAGTTATGTAGCACCAGAAGTTTTAGAAGGGTCAAGTTATGATCATGAATGTGATATATGGAGTCTTGGAGTAATTACATATGTATTATTGTCAGGATATTTACCATTTTTTGGAGAAACACAAGATGAATTATTCCAAAAAATTATGTCAGGAGATTATACATTCAATTACTCATGCTTTAAAGGAGTTTCAGAAGAAGCAAAAGACTTTATTAATAAGTGTCTTGTTGTTGATCCACAAGAACGAGCTACAGCAGCACAACTTATGGAACATCCATGGGTACACCCAGAAAATAGAAATCTTCCAAGTATGAAAAGTGCAGCACTTCATCCTACAGCATCAATGAATGAGTTGTCTAGTGGATTTAATCCAAAAAATAGACAAAATCCTGGTGCTTAACAAGAATTGTTATTTTCTTTATTGAAAGAATTATTTTGTTTTTGTTTTGATTAAAAATAAAATACAATAAAGAAAAAAATATAAAATTAATTTTCATGTAAGAATGAAGTTGTAGTATTATCATCAAGATGTGACTTTACAATCTTTTTGAATATACACAAATAAAGAATTGGAAAAACAATAAAACAAAGATGTATAAATGACAAATAAACTAATGTTGGAATTGATGCTACAAGTACACTACAAATATGATATTTTCCTGTATTTAATACTATCAATAATATTTGTGTTATTCCATAAATAATAAATAATACTCTCATTATATTCTTTAATATTCCAGTATATGTCTTTGTTTCTTTCAGAAATATAAATCCAATAAAGTATAATATTAATGACCCTATAAACATTATTCCACACCATAAATAATTCTCATATAATTGTGATTTTTCTGTTAATCCTAAAATAATCAATATTTCTCCCCCAATTCTACTGATATCTGAAAGTATTGTTATTCCTAATTGCCAACTATACCCAAAAACTTCTTTATGTTTTTGAATATCTTTATAATTGAAATAAAATGTATTAATTCGTATTATAATATTTATTCCTTCTACTACAAATATAGGAATAAAATAATAAATTACATCCCCTTTTAGTATGGTATCTAATCTTAATGAAATTATAGGTATTATTCCAATTATAATTGAAGACTTAATTATTGCCATTATTCTTCCAATTGTTCCTTTTGTAAATCCTACTTCAATAAATATAAGTATTGATAAAATAATAAGTGGAATATTAATAATAATATATTTCATTGAAATATGTTCCATAATTTTCATCAATAACATTATTACCCATGAGTCAATCATTAATAATATAATAAACGCAATAACATATATCACAAAAGAAATTGTTGAAACAGTGGTAATAAGTGCTTTTGTTCCTAATATTGTGTCTACGGTATTTTCTTCTTTATTCATTGGTTCATCTTTAATTAGTATTGAAGAATCATCTTCAGACATATCACCCATTAGTATAATGTTTTTATAGATCCAGTTATGAAGATGAAATGCGTTTTATAAGACAGAAAAGAAGAAAAGGAAAAACTGAAAAAGAAAAAACATAGGGTTATGTCTGACAAAGACAAGGCACAACGACTTCATAAATGTGGGGATAAAGAAGCCATAGAATGTACTGACTTAATTGAAGAACGAAATATTAAGATAAACAACGAAATGTATGATCTTGAAGAAAAAATGAAAAGAGTCATTGGGAAAGAATTAGAAGGAATGGGTATTACTCAGCTTAACCAAATCCAACAAGAAATTCTTCCAGAACTAAATGAAGGAAAAAGTATTATAGTAGAATGTCCAGCACATAAAGGAATTAGTTCAGCAGTTATTGCACGAAGTATTTATTTATCTAAATCATTTCCAGATATTAAAGAAGAAGATCTTGAAGAACCAGAGCGTGGAGGACCATTTATTATTATTATTTGTGGAGATTGTAATGAAGTGATTAGTACAAGGGAGATAATTAAAAATTTAGTAGATGTTAATGTTAGTTGTTGGACAGGAGCTAAGAACAAGAGCAAAGAAAAGAAAGGAGTAATGAGAAAAGATGAAATTATTGTAACTACATTAGGGTCAATATTATATCAAATAGTTAATAATGAAGAGTTTAAATGTCCAAACTTAGAATTTGTAGGATGTACATCAATGAACATAAATTCAAGTATGGGAATTGAGAAAGATTATATTAAAGTATTTAATAGACTTCCAGAATGTCAAGTTTTATTAGAGTCAAGTGAAAAAATAGATGAAGATATTATTAAAAGCAGTATTAAACAAGGAATTAAATATAAATTTGAAGAAGAAAAAAAACAAGAACAAGAAGTTGGATATGTGTTATATCCGTTAAAAAGAAAGAATGATATAATTGGTACAATAGCTAAAAATCCTAGAAATAAGAAAATTGTTATGAAATTCTTTTCAAATGAAGAAGCTATTTTTTATCAAGATATTATGAGTAGATTAGATGTATGTGAAGGAATTGTATTACATACAAAGATGTCAATTTCAGAACAAAAAGAAACAATTGAAAGAATTAATAAGAGTGAATCATGTGTAGTTTTTACTACACAAGAAAGAATAATTGATAGAGTTGATATGGGTATTTTTGTAGATATACCTAAAGATGTTGATAAAGTTGAATGTAAAGGAGCACAAGAAATGTTATTAATGATTCCTGATTCATCTAAAGAGTTTGTAGAAAAATTACAAGAAAAAAGAAAAGTTCGTCAGTATGGATTTGAAATGAATGAATTAATAAGTATTGAAGAAAAATTGAAAAAAAATGTAAGTAAACAATATTATGTACATTTAGAAGCACGGGATGCATATCGTAGATTTATTCAAAATTATAATACATTGAAATTAGGAAATATCTTTCAATTATCGAAGTTAAATCTCATTGACATTGCACATACATTTGGATTAGAAAATCCAACTATTGTCAATACTGGTTTGTTTTTCATTTCATTTTTCATTTTATAGTTATAAATCATTCTATCTAACAAACCTAGATCTTCAAGGAGCACAAGGAGTTAGTGAAGTACCTTATGAATATAAAAGAAAGATCTTCGTTGGGAAACAAGCAATTCTTCCAGATGTTAGAAAGAAAGGAAAGAATCTTTCAAAGAGACAAGCAAAGCGAAAGGCATTAAAGTCACAACAACACAAAGATGGTGAAGCACAATGATTTTTACTAATTGAATGATTGAGTTTAAAAATTATTTGGTTGGTTTTACATGAAACAAAAATTGAGTCTTTGATGAAGTTTGTATTTAAAATAGAATTAACCTCTAAACATAATTGAGATAATGT